CGTACGTGCATACATACCAGTATACATAGAGATTTACTACTATAGTACTATTGTTAGTTAGTTAGTATACACACAGTCTCCTCACAGTAAGCTCCCAGTAGGGAGGTCCCGAGGTATGAGATATCTATATGCAAGGACTTTAGTGGCAACCTCCATCTTTTATATATAAATGCGGTAATATCCTGTCTATTTTTTATCTATTCGCATCTATTCACATCTGTTCCCATCTATACTATACAATACCCATATATATCTATTTATATCTGCCATCTCGGCCTCGTCATACGTCATACGTCATACGCTGCAATGAAGGACAACGGCACCCATCTCTACCCAAATGAGCATGTCTCCGAGAAGGTTACAGATTATGCCTTTGAACACTCCACCAAGCTTCCAGACTACATCACGAAGCACCATGCTTGGGGTTCCGACCAACCAAAGGCGGGGTTCATGATCTCGCCCTTCCAGACCCAGTTCCAGATCTGGTTTGCAAAGGCACTTGGAGCCAAGAGAAGTATGCACGTCTAATCTATCCTGTCGTACAACGTGGCGGATCTTGTATCCTGGGCCGTACACTCTCTGTCCCACCTACCCCATGAATTTGCTATAGTCTGTATTCCTCGGGGGGGAGCAAACTATGTCTTGATATACCAATATTCCAACTCTACAGCCTTGATAGCGACAGCACTAACCTTTACCAGTCCTCGAGATTGGTTGCTACATCGGTTTCTCAGCCCTTGGCTTTTCCGAAGCAGTCGGTCCAGATGGTCACGTCACAACTCTCGAGTTTGACCCGGAATACGCCCAGATTGCACGTGAGACCTTCGAGAGGAATGGCGTGAAGAACGTCGAAGTTATCGTCGGAGATGCGAACAAGAGGTGATTTATATATTTCCCTCGTCTATAAAAATAAAATGCCTTGATTGACAACTTCTAGTATTCCTGAGCTGGCCCTGGCCATCGACCAGGCGTTCGACCTGATCTCCACCGATGCAGACAAGATATCCTACCCCAATTATCTCGCTCTCATCCTTTCACTTTCAACGTCCACTAGTCAAGTGCGCCTTCTCAAGTCTGGAGGCACAATTATGGCGGATAATATTCTCCGCCGTGGTGTTGTCGCTGACAGGAGCGCCTCAAACCCAAATGCCACCCCCGAAGAGCTTTCAACTGAGAAGGGGGGGAGAGCCGAGCAGTTGGTCGCTCTGGATAGGTTCAACAAGGAACTTGTTCAGAACGAGCGACTTGAGACCTTCCTGCTTCCACTATTCGACGGGTTGGGAATGGGGAGGCTGAAGGATTAGTAAGGCTAGGATCATAGTTAATACTGTAGCCTACCTGTCTCGAGCAAAGACGCCAGGGATATAGTTACACCAACATCTTTATCTACCTCTCATTGGCGTTGTTCTCCGATTTAGTCACTTGCACCAAATCCAAATGTGACGTGGCTACAATTATAAACGCATTTCGGCACTGATGAGTTGACAGATGTTCATATGATAACTTTAGACTACGTGCCGGACTAAAGCACCGGACAAACAACAGCGCCATCTGTGGATTCTAGGTCAACACACCATGAGAACAATCTTGTATTCGTTTTCTATGAGCTGCCAATCCGGCCATCTCAAGCTCTTGTACCAGCTTCACCCCCGAGCAATTCTCTTCAGACAGTTCCAAACAACGAACCAGAGTCCAACAAGTATCGAGATATCTCGACTCCATCTGCTTTCGGTATCCCCTGCCTTTCTTTTCAGGTAATAGTGACTCTTCCCATGTCAGATTGCATTCTCTCCAGACGATGGCCCTGGTTGGCATCAGTTGGTCAACTGCGAGCCATAGTTGTCGCAATGGCGAATCCAAGCTGTCCACCCGTTCTTATCGGACCTTTCTACATTTCCCAGGACCGTGACAGGCTCAATAACTATTCGGATACGTTGTGACATCTTCTTCTGTGCGTTATTTAGGTGGCCTAAAGCCTTTAGTTGTTGCTTTCTCGCCTTTTCAAGCGTCTTGTCTTGGGCCCTGTTGGCCTTGGTTTGGGCCTTGTTAGGCTGTAGTGCTGTCCTAGATACTTTGGAATGTGCTGCAACATCCTCCGCAGTAGTATCGATTTCCTCACCATCAGCTACGGGCTCAGCATTTGCCACTCTAGCCTCGATTCCCCATGTGTCGGATAAGTGGTCGACATGTCCTCCATGGTATAGATCCATGAACTCCATACCGACACCTTCCTCTGGTATGTCGACCCTCATAAGGAGACCCTTGGGGCGAAACAGGTTATTCTGGGATGCCCGAACATATTCGAAAACCTTAGAAAGCGATTTTTGAAAGTCGAGTTTCTCGGATTTCCCGCCACGCCCACCAAACGGAAGAACCAGGCGAATCGGAGTCTTCTTATTCTTCTTCTTACGTTGGGGGGTAATGAGTGAGGTCAGATAAGCTGTAAATTTATTCCAGTCTTCCTCGAGTATCTCATAAGCAGCCAGCCCGGGCGGGTAAGGGAAGCCGTCGGCTACTCGACCCTGCGAAGGGACTTGAATACCAGTCTGGTATGGCTTCGCGGTGAATGATGGAGTAATCGCCAAAAGTCTCGTGGTTCTGGTATGGATGTTTTCAGAAATAGGCAGTGCTACGGACTTGTCCTGCGCATAAGCGTCCTCAGCAGGCTCATTTGGACGGGGACCTTCTTCAACATCTGCAACGACAGAGGATATTTCGATTTCTGAAGACTCAGCTACCCGCTTAGGTATCTTAGCTACAGGTGTTTCCGATGGTTTGGTATCCGATGGTCCCAGTTCCACAGTCTTGGCCTCTTCCTTGTGTCTCACGACCGGGGCAACAGGGGTCTCTTGAATGCCGTCGATGGCGCCTAGGATGGATGGCACAGGCGCTGTTACTAGCACCGGTGCTGCGGTTGAACTTCTGGACAATTTGGAAGGGAAAGCAGTTCCAGTTTCGGGTTTTGATGTGGCGTTTCTCGTCATGATATGTACGACGGTGTCTGCTGCTTCTTGTTCTGGCGAATTAAAACGCGGCAGCTCTGCGTCACTATCCTATCCAGACACTTAATTTCATGGTCTCCTTGAATCTAGATTTGTAGTACAACTAGCTGATGTTCGGCGCCAGTGTGCATTACGTACCGAATGAGGATTTGGGTGGATAATAATGTGAACGGTCGACATTAGACCTATTCTCAGACTGCCAGGGAGCAGGTTACGGCGTCTTTGGCCTTGTTCGATGAGGAAATAGATTGTAAAGTTGCAACCTGCCAATGGTGATGTGAACAGGATACAGATAATATATAGTGATCTAGGAGAGTTGTGCATGTGATACTTAGGTATATGAGCTGCGTAATGAATGAGGATAAAGATCAAGACGAAGGAGAGTTGACTCGAGTAAGAGAAAAAGAGAAAGCGGGTTTGAAAGTTGCAGAAAGTCCCATCAGTTGGCAGGCACGAATGGCTGGTGGACCATTGGACCTTCCTTGAACATTTGGTGAAGTAGCTATCTAACTACGACACACAGAGGATGCACCGTTGAATTATTATTCGTTTACGCGCCATCAAAATCACAAACCCCCCAAACTGCCATAATTACGACCCAGGACTCCTTCGCTATGTGAAATGACACTATACCCTCTCCCAACGATCTTTATCTTCTCTCCCTGTCCGGCTGAGCCCTGCTTCGGCTACGACTGCGATCGCTGCTGTAGCTGCTGTAACTCAAACTTCTCCTCCGAGTCCCATTACGGTCTTCGTTATCTCGCCTCCCACCGCGCCTCCTCGGGGATCTTGACGTGGATGAGTAGGTTCTGGAATGGCTCTTGCGCGCCCTTGGCGAATGAGACCTGGACAATGACCGTGGTCGATAGGTATCTGACGGCGCACCTCTGTTGTAATTTCTGTTTGGGGATCGACGCCTTGGTGGCGGAGGCCCTCGAGCGTCCATTCGTGCTCGTGGTTCAATATTAGCGCCTCCCCGTCTTGCCAGTGGCGGTGCTGGTGAGAACTTGCGCCTTGGAATGACAATAGACACACTTATCACAGCGCCATCCAATTGCGCCTCATGCATATGGGCAATGGCCTGCTCGACGTGCGCGTCAACCGCGTATAGAAGATAAGCTGTGCCACGGTTTGTACCGACTGTACGGGTTAGAAAGGTCCTATTGAGGGTCGACACAACTTACATTGTCTGTTCATGGGCATATCCATATCAATAATCTCACCGAAGCTCCCAAACAATTCTCTGAGGTGGTTCTCATTTATGTTCTTGGTGAGTCTCTCAACCACAATCTGGAACCTGTCAGTAACAATTTCGTTCGTAGCACGCGACAGCGCATTGCAGAGCCAGCTAAAAAAGGTGGGTGCGGATTTCATACCTTTGTGCTTTTCACATCCGGACTTGGGCTGCGTGATATGCTCCTGGTGGCTCTGCGGCCTCCGTTTCGATCATATGAGGGGGAACGTGAGCGGCGGGGTGATATAGATCGCCGGTGCAAGGGTGGTGGAGAGCGAGAATTGTCCAGACGAGGTGAAAGAGAGCGCATGGGTTCGCGCCCACGAGATAAAGAACGCCGAGGCATCGCAGGTCGAAAACTGGATGGTTTTGGACGAATTGCTTTGCAAAATAATCGGAGAGCAGGGTCGTACACAAGGATGATGTGTAGAGGTTGTTTTGCGAGTGGTATGTTGCGTATTGTGTTTTGCTAATTGAATGCGATGTGAAGTCAACGGGCGCGGCTGTGGGTTGAGCCTTGGAGTTTGAGTCGAACTGAACGCGTCAGAAACGCCAAGCTCCATGAGCACCCAGATTTAATTGCTCGCTTATCGCTTATCTACTCCACCACGATGACGCGGGGCAAAAATAAGGATTGATGGTGAACCCAAGCGATCTGTGTGCTGAATAAATTAACAACAAGTTAGATCGGATGGATACACTGATAGCCAGTCATCTATCTGGCTCTGGCAAACAAAAAAAAAGCCTCAAAAGGCAAAAAGAAATGCCCACATACGGAGTTGAACCGTAGACCTCGGCATATCACGTGATTTCACGTGACCATGAATCGTACTAGTGCCGCGCTCTACCAACTGAGCTATGGGGGCTGATAGTTATTAAGGGCATGCAAAGTATAGCTCTTATGCATCGTACCATCAAGAGACCCCTTCTAACACCACGAAACAACAAACGATGGCATTTGTAAATCCCATACTTCGGCTACAGGGCCATAAACTTGATTTCGGACTTTAAACACCATTGTCACCCTACCTGTCCCTCATTCTTTAAACTCTATATTCTTCTGGTTCTTCCATCGAACTTCACTCTTCATTACCTCTCCCAATCCGTCTCTATCATTATCACGGAGACCTAGATCCTGAATCGGGCTGACTAAAAGGGACATAGCCAGGATTCACACGTGATAGAGCTGGAGCGGGAGCCGCACCAGGGCGAGCCAACAATGAATTGAGGTGAGGTGAGCTTCTGGCGTGTGTAAGTTTGGGACCAGCATGTGGCGCATACCATTTGTGTCCAGGCTCAACCTGTAAGTCTTCTGGCTGTGGAGGAATTCGCTGAACATGCGCTGATAAGGGGATAGGAGCGAGTATGTAGCACTCGTCGTCTCCTTCGTCTTGGTTGGGCTAGAAGCACTTATTCGAGTCCTCACTCTTGCGCTGCGTAGGATACCCCCCAACACTCCTATACAAGTCCTCCATAGCTAATATTTTATAGCCACGAGTATAATAGCCCTGTGTTATCGAGCGTCGAAACGACTATTCCACTATTTTACATCCACCGCAGCGAAGAAGTCGGTGTCCAGGCAAAGCTGTATGTACCCACACCCGCTTGGTAATTATAAGGCTGACATTATTGCTACAGCCCGGTCGAGCGCCATCCGCGATGCTTCCGATTTTGTCGACTTATGCGCACTGTCAGGCTACCTGGCGGAAGAGCATGTGGTACAAACCTCAGATGGATACTTGCTTGGACTCCACCGACTTGGCTGGAAACGAGGAGAGGAGGGTGTCAGGGTCAATTCATCGAAAGGCGGCATAAAAAAACCCGTGGTATATTTGCATCATGGGCTGCTTATGAATAGCGAAGTGTGGGTGTGTCTGACCGACGAAGAACGCTGTCTGCCATTCCACCTTGTGGAAAAGGGGTACGATGTTTGGGTATGTGTATCCAACCTATATAGTCTTGGGACTTACTGACCGTTTATAGTTTGGAAACAACCGTGGGAACAAATATTCCAAGAAATCTATCCATCACCCTCCGACAGCAATGGCATTTTGGGATTTCTCAATGGACGAATTTGCTTTTCATGACATCCCAGATAGTATCGACTACATCCTCTCTACGACCTACCAACCGTCGCTCTCATATATTGGATTCTCCCAAGGCACAGCACAGGCTTTTGCTACACTATCAATACACCCGAAATTGAACGACAAAGTCAACGTGTTCATAGCGCTCGCACCGGCGATGTCCCCAGCAGGATTACGGAACGGCGTCGTTGACTCGCTGATGAAAGCTTCTCCAGAGGTTCTGTTCCTCCTTTTTGGCCGTCGCTCCATCCTGAGTTCAACGACAATGTGGCAGTCTATCCTATACCCTCCAATCTTTGTGCGTGCCATCGACACCTCCCTGGCCTTCCTTTTCGGCTGGTACGGAAAAAACATCTCCATGGTCGAGAAGCTCGCGGCCTACCCCCATCTCTACTCCTTCACCAGCACCAAGAGTGTAGTCCACTGGTTCCAAATCATCCGCACCGCCTCCTTCCAGCTCTACGACGACGATGTCCAACCTCCACTCCGCCTCGGCAGCGTCAGCAAATATACCAAGGTCGCCCGCTTCCCAACCCGCAACATCAAGACCCCCGTTGTCCTCGTCTACGGCGGCTCCGACTCCCTAGTTGACATTAACGTCATGCTGAAGCAGCTCCCCGCCCACACCGTGGCGACTGAAATCCCACACTTTGAGCATCTCGATCTCCTGTGGGCCCGCGATGTCGACACTCTCGTCTTCCCGCACGTCATAGACGCCCTCGAAAGCTTCTCTGACTCCGGGCATACTGAAGAGCACTTCGCCAAGTACCGCGCCGCACGCCATGCCTCCCTTGGGCCGGGAGCGCGGCGCCCTCATAACCCAACAGAGTCGGCCTCCAAATCTCTAGGCAGCAGTTATGCTGATGTAGCAGCAGTTACTCCCGACATTGACGACGAGGATCTTGTCTCGGATGGACCGCGTCGGAATACCGAGGGCGCGATGCCTTCTCTTGCGGGCCGTAGGAAGATAAGGGGGCGTTCCGGGAGCGAGAGGATTGAATACGACTCAACCTCGTCGTCTGAGATTGCACATGCCGCAACTGCTCGGGCTACGGAAGATGAGAAGTGAGGAGGTAAGATGCAGTGCGTGGGGGTACATATGAGATCAATCTGATCGATCGCTTGTATATATCTAGATAAGATACATGTACATATATATATATATATATTTGTTAGATATTGTTCCCAATGGCAGGAGCGTGATCTGGAACGTGCTTCTAGATTGGATGATAGGGGACCAGTTGACGATTAATGAATTAATGAGGACTATGCACAATGGCAACATTTTAGATCCCCCACGTGCATTCATGGCACATGTCTGTCTACTACATGTCTCGCGGCTACAGGACTGCTGTAGTAGTCGGACCCTGCGAGTCTTGTCGTCGTCGTGTTGTCTCATAATCGTGTCAGTAGTGTCAGTATCGTCGGTCTCGCCGTCTCTTATTTGTGTCTAATCGTCATCGACGTCATCTGACCATATAATCCGACGCCGTCAACGCCGTCAACAACCATCCCATAGATCCCATAGCGATTAGTCCTAAAGCACTACTTTAGTATACCCGATGAGCAAATGCATTCGCCCAAACCCTCCCAAAACGACCCAACGATCGATTCCCGATGAGTCTCACTGGTTCCACGGATGTATGTATAGTAAGAGTAAGTGGTATGGTCCATACTACCACTCTACTCCAAATATGCACGCGTACTACATAACTGCCACTTTACTAGACTTATGCACTGTAACGATGTAACCGCTTCTCCATTTCCCCATTCCCCTCATTCTCCAAACATCATCTTTCCAACTAACCTTCCTTCCTACCTACCTACCTACCTACCCGCTCGGCTCGGTCTCTTACTCGGTCCTCCTATATTTCGCCCTCCATCCCTCCTTTCTCTCTCTCCCTCACTGTTATACTCCCCTCCACTATTATCGCGAGCGATATACAGTTATACAGATGGCTTCCTATTCTCTCCCTCCTTGATGATTTACAGAGTACTCTACTCTATTCTACTCTACTCTACTCTACGAAATACACACTTTGGATTCACACTGCCGGTCAACAAATCCACCCTTTCAGAACCCTTCCCACCCCTAACCCAGAACCACTAAAAAATCCCAATTCTACGACCTGCCCCACCGATACCGACACCACAGACACCCACCAACCCCACCAAAACTGCGAGTCTTTTACAGGGCATATTCCTTGTCGCTGCTAATCGACCCTCACTACTCAATCTCGACGTTGTTGCCACGATTATGGCTGCGGCCGCGATCACACAAACTGGCGCCCGCTCCCGGGCGTCGCCGCGCTCCTCGAGAAATCTTCAATCTCTTCGAGCAACTCGGTCGATGCAAGCCGCAAAAAGGACGCCGTCGCCAACATGTTTTTGTCCAATGCGGCCACTCGCAACCCGCCCGGCGATCTGACCAAGGGTTTTGTGGAGAAGCATCTCGGTAGCAGTTCCAAGACGCTGCGTCTTCAGGACTTCAAGTTGTTGAGGATCCTCGGGACTGGGACATTCGCGCGGGTTTGGCTGGTCAGACTCGCGCACCCAATGCAGGGAGCCGAGGACCGGGTGTTCGCATTGAAGGTCCTACGAAAAACTGAGGGTGAGCAGCGCCTCCTTCTTCCTTTGCGGGGTCTCACGTCGGACAACGCTGACATTTTGTAACAGTAATCAAGCTCAAGCAAGTCGATCATGTCAACCACGAACGGGCCATCCTGGCAGATGTCGCCGGCTATCCATTTATAACTACATTAATTACCACCTTTACGGACTCGGAATGCCTATATATGCTTGTAAGCTGCTATTACCAGGTCGCATCAATACCCACATATCGCTAACTCTCTTTCCTTCCAGCTGGATTACTGCCCTGGCGGCGAAATATTCAGCTACCTGCGACGCCAGCGCCGCTTCCCCGAACACGTCTCACGCTTCTACCTTGCCGAGATCGCGGCGATCCTCGAGGACCTGGCCGAGCGCGAGGGCGTCGCCGACCGCGACCTCAAGCCCGAGAACATCCTCCTCGACGCCGCGGGACTCGCCCTGCTCGTCGATTTCGGCTTCGCGAAGCGCGTGCGCGATAGTACGCCCTCCTTTCCTTACCGTCCCATTCTCTCTTCCTCAAAACGGGTCATGCGGCGGTTGACCCGAAGCACGGTGGACGCGGATACTTATTATGGTGGTGGGTTGGCGCAGTCGGCGCTCGGATGGCTATATAGTCGTAGTGTTGTCGCCAACAGCTGCTAACTTGTGGAAATAGGGGAAACATACACACTCTGCGGAACTCCCGAGTACCTCGCTCCCGAAGTCATCCAGTCCCAGGGCCACTCGACCGCCGTTGACTGGTGGGCCTTCGGCATCCTGATGTACGAGTTCATCACTGGGTATCCGCCCTTCTGGCACCAGAACCCGATGGAGATATACAAGCAGTGCGCATCCCTCTGCCTCCACCCCATGTATCACAACGCTAACCCACACTAGGATAATCCATAAATCCATCACCTTCCCACAGCACGACCCGCCCATCTCGAGCGACGCACAGGATCTCATCCTAGCGCTCTGCACAGTCGACCGCTCGCACCGCCTTGGCAACCTCTCCGGCGGCGCCGCAGCCGTAAAGTCGCACCCCTTCTTCGCCTCGGTGAACTGGGACGACGTGTACGCGCGCCGCCACGACGGGCCGATAATCCCCAAGCTGAGCGGCGCGAGCGACGATAGCTGCTTCGAGCGGTACAGCGAGGATGAGGGGCAGGTGGACATTTACACGCAGGAGG